GTATCGACGATATCACAATTGATAGATGCAACTATATACTTCTTTTTGAATTTTGGGTTCTTTTTACGTTATCAAAGGCTCAACTGGCATTAAAATAAGGTTAACAGAGACTTAACGAAAAAGAGTTAAAAAAACATGTCTATCATTGCCCCTGTTCCCAAAATTACCAGTTGACGAGAATGAATGAGAAAAAATAAGCGGAAAAAATTAAATAAGAAGTCAAAATTCCATACCTTTAATAATATCCACCGTAGCTGCGACGTCCGTACAAGCCGTAAAGTCCACCACGACGGTAACCGTAGCTGCGTCTGCCGTAACCATAGCCGGAATAGCTGGGGCGGACATAGCTTCTGCGTGGAGCGACGACTGGTCTGGAGGCTGGGAGAGCACCATAGCCAGACACTGGGATACCTCCTGCGTAGTTGCCGCTCACGTAGCCGTTGGGGAAGTAAAGGATTCTTCCACTGCCGTCTGGGGCTGGATAGTATTTGGTGCCTGGGACGGCGGCGGCGAAAGCCACGATGGCCAGGAGGACGACGGCTTTAAGCATCATCTTGGTACGGAAGGTGTGCGGCTCGGTCAAAGTAAGGACTAAACGCGGTGATGAGGGAGTCCGTTTGGGTTTTATACCCGTCACTTTGTAATGGCTTTGCGTGAACCAAGACATGAAGCATCATTTCGTGTTTGACTTGATTTATTTTTCATTTTAAAATGGCATGCCCGTTTCTCATTTGGTTTTATTGAAGGACGGTTAATGCCTTCCAATGTAATCACAAAACCACTGTCTCTGTGCACAACTAGTATACAAAATATAATAACACATTTTTTCTAGAACTCGCGTTCAACGATCTCATAGATGATGTAACGGCAGCATTCATGTGGGGGTAAAACTTTCGGTTTCAAGAACTCCCTGGTCCCAATTGGCTGCTGATATGGAACTTAAAAGATGTAACACAAAATGTTCTATCAAAAGGTAGTTTAGATTTTATCGCCAAAATTGTGAGATCATAGACTTTACTTTAGTGTATTTTTCCTGTCCCTGAACAAAAGGTCTAAAAATCTGAGATATCTTTTTTTACATCGCACGCCATCAAACTATCATACCTGAAAATATCTTGATTCTATCTGAAATGGTTAACATGACACGCCCGAAGCTAATTTCTTACCTCTTTGTAAAAAAGTGCTTCAAAGATAAAAGAACTCACCTGGTGTGTTTGTCAGTGTATAAATAAAATACTATATTTACTAGATGTAAACAACCTTTCTCTGCATGTGAGCCAAAATGAATAAATATATGATCAGATAAAGAAAAGACATCTAAACAAATATCTCAATTTAAACGCTGGCGTTAATAATGGTAATAATAAAAAGATATTTGAAAACACCGCCTCACATACTTCCCAGGGCTGTCTACAACATGAAAATGAAAATTCAATATGCTAAAACATGCATCTACTGCCTTAAATGATAAATTACTAAAAAAGAAAAAAAGAAAGAAAGAAAATAGAAAAAAAACATGCCAATGAAATTTCCAATTACCGGAAAATGCTTAGTGCAGATAACATTAAATTGCATTTCTATATAGAAAATCTAAACTTTTATAACAAAATCTTAGTCCACCAGTACTTTGACTAAGACAAGACAGAAATAGATGCTTTCATGAAATATTGCACGTGTCTTATAAAAATACAAAAATCTCTAATTTCTTTTTTTTAGTTTTATTTTTAATGTTTGATCTTTTAAAACCAATGGTTAGTATGCATTTCTCCCCAATTTAACGAGACTTATGTATTGGTCTTACACCTGAGGACAGCTTTCGGTGTAAAGTGGTTTTGTTGCAGCAGTCCATGTCGTCATAAATGATGAGTCTGGGATGACAACAGTGGTCATTTGGGCTTCATGCGTCGCCACGTTGAACAGCACACTAAGTGTGACTTGCAGCCATTTTATGACTTTGGTGCGCCAAAATATCAATAAGTGTTGAAAAAAACATTTTCTCAGGGTAGTTAGCGTTCGGGGTTAACCACTTTTAAGGGTCTTCAAAACACTGCATGTCATTGTCCTTACTTTAATTTACACGTGTAATGTAATGATCCACGGCAATTGAAAAATTATGATAAGTAGGAGAGGCTTGTTACTTTCAAAAACACGTATTTCCTCGTATTTCTATACCGTAACCACAATAAAAAAATAACAGACAGTTGCACGTTTCAGTTTCATTTACCGGGCAAAAAGTAATGGATTAACTATTGTCCTCTGTACTACATAAACGGTGTTTAGTGAATCTGCAAAACATATCCCCGGATTTCTCCGACTTTTGGAAAGACAGTAAACAGAGAAAATGCACCAGTACTGCAAAGAAACAAGCGGGCAGCGAAGAACGAGTTTCCTTGCACCTTATGTCGGGGTCAAATGTCAATCGGAGAGGGGACGTCCGTACAGAGTACCTCTTTCACAACCATGTCTAAAATGAGATTCCATGCGTGACCAGTCCATATATCATCCCCGTTATAACTTCCATTGGACGGTGGTTGGCAATGATTTAGCCTGATAAGAGGAGTCAGAAAATCAAGCAATGAGGGAAGAGAAGAGTGATGAAATAAAGCAGTTGGAGTGATGCAATGATGACGCGCTGCATGCCATGTCGCGTGCCCCCGTGATGCTCTGTGCATTTTAAACAAATACGAGTCTGGAGTAAAAAGCAACGCGCAATGTGAACAATGTGTCAGATTTTACTGGATTTACATGTAGTTTTACTTGATAAAATGTTGCGGCGGCATTTCAAGCACATGTAATAAGTCGTTAAGGCCTAGACTGGGCTGAAAAGTGAAACTTTTAGTTACCGGTGCCAGGGAATTATATCCGATATGATTCCCTGCCGGTACTTACCGTTATATTTCTGTATTAACTAAGTGCTATTGCATAAAGAACGCAAATAAGGTGTAAGTGTATACATGACAAATTACATACAAGTGCATAAAATATATATGATAATATTGTGCCCATACTTAATATGTATATACTATATTATACCATATGTACATCGAATATGTATGAACCTTAGTATAGGGAAAGTACAGATGTATCCTACTATGAGTATCATTCAGAACTTAATAAATTATCATTACCACAAGGCCTGTTTCTGAGCGTGACTTAATCAATGAGAAATCACCCCAAAGGTCACATCAATTCCTCGTGGATTTACCTAAGGACAAACGACACTTTATATTAACATTTTAAGCACATCATACCCTGACAAATGAACTGGAGATGGCTAAATGGACAATGATAATTTAGTTAGTCCTACGGTATGCTGGCGTGTCAATGACACAACAGTGGACAGTGCGATTTAAAGCCTAACTACATTTTAACCGAAAGAAGATGTCCAGGCGAATAAATTAAACACAATTAAATCTTAATAAACAATAGACGCCCTGTCCTTGTGACCGTTCCGTTATTCATTGGGATCGTGAATAACATATTTCCATCTTAAACACGTTTAGTAGCATTAATTAAAACGAAAACTCACGCGAATTCATCACAACCAAATGGATATAAAACCCGAACGGACGCCCTCATCACCGCGTTTAATTCTTTACTTGACAGAGTCGCACACCTCCCGTACCAAGATGATGCTTAAAGCCGTCGTCCTCCTCGCCATCGTGGCTTTCGCCGCCGCCGTCCCAGGCACTAAGCACTACCCAGCCCCAGACGGCAGTGGCAGAGTTCTCTATTTCCCCAACGGCTACAACAGAGGCACCAGCTATAGCGAGGGTATTCCCGTCACTGGCAGCGGCCTCGGAGGCTACCGCAGAAGCTACGCCGGCTATGGCGGCTACGGACGTCGTGCCTACGCCGGTTACGGCTATGGAAGACGCACCTACGGCCTTAACTACGGACGCAACCTTTATGGACTGGGATACGCTCGCCGCAGCTACGGTTTTGGCAAATACTATTAAAGGTGCAGTGTTTTATCTTCTTTTTTGTTTATTTGTATTCAACTGTTTTGTGCTCTGTTATTTACATCAAAGATAGTTTGGTTTATGTTTGGGTGTTTCTTCCTCTCCTGCTATTGAATTATCTAGTTTAAACCCCTGTTACTCTTAGATGTGATCGCTGTCCACCGCTTTCTCTTTGACCCACACTTCCATTGGTGGTACAGTGAGAAAAAGAGAAGGAATAAGTGTATGTTTTTTTACAGAAAAAGTCGTTTATTTTCCCTAGCATTTTATGTATTTCCTCCAACATTTACAACAACGAAATATATCTATGAATAGAAATAACTCAACTTCATTTCTTTTTTTATTTTAGTCATAAGATGATACCCTAGACTGTAACACGTATATACTCTGACTGGATCATATCACCCGTTGCCATGACAACACAAGACATCATCAACAGCACATCTATTTCCAACAGAGGAACCCGAGAGTTGACTTCTACTTCCGATCTTTTTCCCGAAGACTCCCGAACACTGCCGAAAACTTCGTGATTTTGAAGTTCCAACCTAAACTTACATTATAGCTCATTCGACACATTCATCGTTATTCATGTTTGTTTATACGGAGATGTATTCAATAAAGCTAATTTTGTACCTTCTATAAACGTGTTGTAATTAGTATGATAAAGAAATAAAAGACATCGGACGCCGACATTTATACACACACACATATATAATGCCCCTATTTCACACAGACCACGAATCCCACGATAATCAGTTCGTGATTGATCAAGAATTGCAAGAACTGACTACGAATAATATACGAATCTGTTAAGAAATTTACGAACTGATTACGATTCAACCACGAATCCTGAAATTTGTCAATTCCTGCCGATTCGTGGGATTCGTGGTCTGTGTGAAATAGGGCATAAGGACAAACACAGGGAATCAAGGGGTAATTTGAAATATTTATATTTTTGGCCCCCCTCTCTTCACCAACGCGAACATTACGAGGTCTTATGTTGGAGAGTACGCTTCCAAGCATGTGGGATATCTAGTAAAATAGCAGACCTCGGTATATTCTTTCCTCCCACTCTGGTGACATATGTTGGCTGAATCCGCAAAGAATCCGCCAATAATTAGCCATGTATATCCGCCAAGAATCCGCGAAGTATCTGGTATGTATCCGGTATCCGCCAAGCCACGCTAGCGTTAATTTTCCACTTTCCGTCAAAGTGCAACGGCTGTTGTCTCGAAACTTGAGAAAAAATAAAAAACAAAGTATTTTCTTTCTATCTTCACTGTTCGGAGTTATTTAAAAGGGATCGTTTGGGATTTTGACACCAAATAAATAAATGAATGAACAAATAAATGTATAACTACAGTAACTGTAAGGTGTAACTCTTCTTAGTTCAAATCACGAACATCTATTCCTACTGTACTTCGAAACTCGGGGCACATTCTATGCCACTAATACCCCCTTTACACTGGACGGCGTCCTTTCTGCGACCATGAAATTTGGCATCACTGTGGTCTTAATAAGGAGGCACGAGCATTGATTTTGTATCAGAATGAATGCTCAATGATCGGCCAGTTGTTGGCACGTAAAGTATTATAATTTTTCAACTCTCAAATGGGACCGTACTGCTGGACGCAGAAAGGACGCCGTCCAGTGTAAAGGGGGCTTAAATGAACAGCGTCCATCGTGTCATCTTTTCAGTGGTTTCATAAGTTGAGTTCATTAAATATACATCTATATAGATCAACTAAAATATATATCTACACATACAAAACGCCCTATCTTTGGGCATATGCGCCTTCTTTAAAGACTATTGCGTAAAAGTTATTTAACTTAATAAACTGAAATAAAGATCAATACTGTGATTGTGATAAATCTTTTCAAAGCACCGGTATCGTTATTCAGTTCCTATTGCCCACGTGAGGAATGGCAGATGAAGTCTTTTTACAGCTAATGAGGTACATGCATGAAGGATCTAAGGCCCCATTCAGAATAGGGGACTAACTAGTCTGAGGGTCAAGTATTGCCTACCCACTTGAATACTTCCCCACGGGATATTTATACAGTGTCTATTAGCGGATTAGACGACAAGCTTTGTAGTGGATCGCCATATTTGACCCTCGCACTAGTTAGTCCACTATTCTGAATGGGGCCTAAGTTATACAACCGTCATGCTTGGTTTATTTCATGTGATCAGTTTGGACACGTCACCTGCAAAGTGGCGCAATGTGCTTGTCTGCTGGTCTGCTTACTACTCACGGAGAAAATATTTCAAAACAATAGCCTTGTAGACGCCTGAAAACAACAATACCCGAAAAGTGTAGTGAAATAATTGCAGAGAATTTTTTACATAATCACATCTTGTTTTATAATATAATTTCCTGCATACACCTTTGTAAATTTGTATATGTATCTAGGCTGTCTTTTCTCACTATAGTGTAAACTCCTTTGTAAATTCCCGGGGGGGGGGGGAGAGAGAGAGAGAGAGAGAGAGAGAGAAAGAGAGAAAGAGAGTGAGAGAGAGAGGTGGGGGAGGGTTCATGATTTGTGCCAGTCAGTACTGCAGTGTCTGTGGATCCAGATTAGGTCGTCAGATGAAACAAGGCAGTGCAGCATACAATCTGACTGCACCTTTATCTACCGTATATTTACTATGGGAGACCTTTTGTTAGTAGACCTCTTAAAAGACCATTTCATTGCTTTCGTTCATTGTCTCTCTCCGTAATACTTTAACCTGTGTGGCCCTTTTTACAACAAGAGGTATATTTAGCGATTCAGTCTGTGTCTTGACTCTCGGAGAGATCCTACCATGTAATTACACTACACGCTCCCTTACACAAGTTCTCAACAAGTTCCTTATTGCCAAAAATTCCATTTATAATATTCCCGAAACACTTCGAATTTCGAACGAAATCATTTGCTTTTTTCAATGATTATTTGCAATATTGTGGGGTAAACCGGAGTCACACAGCCAGACCTTTCAGGTACAGCTTTTGAGTAAAGAGTGATCGTCAACATTTCTATCTAGAGCCTCCGTTTTGGCAACTCTTACGTAATAGACAGGCTATGAAATCGTCAATATCTCAGAAAACCATATCGCTCGGTGTCAAAAACAGATAAAATTACTTCAAAGACCCAGAGGGACGGAGATACAAGTAGTGGTCAAGGCCACACCCTTCGTCCTGCTGGCTCTTTGTCTCAGCCGAATTGATCGACGCCCTCTGTAGAGCCGCATTTTGCAACCGACCGCATTTTGCAACCGGTTGCAAAATGCGTTCAGTTGCAAAATGCGGTCCTACTAAGTAGAGCCGCATTTTGCAACTGAATGCATTTTGTAACTGCAACGCATTTTGCAACCAAAGAAAATCGTGAAAACGCATTTTGCAACTGCAACGCATTTTGCAACCAGGGTTTTTTTCTAAGTCCCTAAAACAGCTTGAAGTACGAGACAGGTAGAATTGGAGTGGGGACGGGTTTGCTTCGACTATGTATGCTGAAACTGGCCAGGCTGCCCCCTGGGGTATAAAACTTATTGCACATTGTAATTTCCTAAACCATTAGAGTTAGGAACTCTAAACGTTAATAAACATTTTGTTAGGCATGTGCATGGGATTTCGGATTTTTTGTTTTTGGTTTTGTTTTTTTTTAATTGGGGTGTGGTCGTCCCTAGGGGTGGTTGATTGTACTTTTTACTTCGTATTTTTCTCCTATCTACCCTTATATCTTCAGAATTAGGAAATAAAAACGTGCATGGGCACTTCGGAAATTTATTGTGACATGGGTGTGGTTGTCCCTGGGGGTGGTTGATTCTAATTTTCCAACGTATTTTCTGCCATCTGCCCATTGTATCGGCCATTTGAGTTAAAGCATGAAACGTAGCTACAGTATAATATGGGATGTTGAATGGCATTTAATTTTTTTGACTTAGGGTGTGGTCCTGGGGGTGGTTGAATATAATTAGACGTTGTAATTTCTGCTATCTACCTTTAGACCATATAAGTTAGGAACGGAAGGC